GCTCCTGCAACCAAACCAGCAGAGTTAACCTTCTCATTTCAGAACAGAAATTCCATAACTTACTAAGAAAAAGCAAATTCCCCCGGGGATATAATATTTATTCACAATTTCTTAGTAAGAGATAGTAAACCCATTTCCTTAACAAGAAGGCAATGTAGGATGAGGAAAAAAATGAGATAGGGAAAGGGGTATTTATATCTTTTTAGAAATTATGGGAAGCATCAGTCACGCTAGTTAGTCGTGATTAATGGTAACGTGAACGGATGATCCGAAGATGCATGTCAATCATAAATAAACTGGTTTATATTACTGATGATCAGTAATTATATTTTTATTTTTTATAAATTTAATTCGTATAAAATAAATTTTTCGAATCTTGCACTTTCTTGTGTTAAAACGTGGAAAATTTATATTTTGTAGCATGTTTTCATAATTGGTAAATTTCCACTTTATTATATCCAATTAGATAACATATGATAACTTTAATTAATCTTAACGGACATGACTTTATTATAGAGGGAATAGGGAAGTGGTTTAAGACTTATTATTATTGGTAATAAATAATAATAATTCAAAACATCAAGCTTCGAAAGGATATGGACAAATACTTGAATTTCATGCGTGAAATCTTAATTTATTTATTGTTTAATTAATCATATTATTATTTATTATTATTATTGTTTATTCATTTATTTATGTGGCCACACGAATTGTATACCAATACGCCATGAAAATAGAAATAGTGGTTAAGCGTTTGATGTTAGAAATCAGTCTACCTTCACTTGCAGGTTTCATTTTGCATCTCTTTCAGTTAATGATGGTGATTAAGTAAATATTTTATTCATTTATTATTTTATTATTTCTTTCTTTCGAGGAAGGCATTAATTTAATTTATTTAGGCGATGCTTTCACCCACTAGACTAAGTTTAAATAAAATGTTCTTTAGTACATAATAAAAAACTTCCATATTGAGCAGAATTGAATTCAAGGATCTAGAAGAAGAAAGTAGAAATATATAAATAAAATATATTGAAATGTCGTGTTTCTTACGATCGGACGGAATTGCCATTGAAAAAATATAAGCTTTCAAAGGCAAGCTTAAATATTATAAAATAAATTATCTATAAATGTAATAATGTTATTGTTATAATCATTATTATGTAATTGTGTAGATCATGATGGAGGAGGCAATTTCCACATACGAAAAAATGACGACTCTCTTTAGATTAAACCATAATTAACTGGTTCTGACTGGGCGAATGTTTTTTAGGGCAAAAAAACAAACATGAGGTTCAGTAAACATCTATGAATATCCTTATTAGTTTCTACAATTCTCAATCTTTATATCCCTTCTAATTTTAATATTCAAAAATTGGTTCACTTTAAACATGAGGAAGAACCCACCTGGCATTTCATAATCAAAGCAAAATCCATATGAGGAATGATTTGGATTCATTTCCAAACTGTCTCTCTAAAATATATAATAATAAGATATACAATAAAATAATTATTAAATAATTAAATTTTATTATAAATAAAAAAAATTCTCTTAGAAAAATCAAATTACTTAGATTTTCTACCGATGATTTGAATTTTGCATGAGCCATTAGATCTTCTGCTCTTCTCGCTTTTGGTTCAACGTATTGCACAATAAGTTCGCCCAAGTCTGAATATATGTATTTACAACCTTCAACTTCCAATCTGAGACCAACTGAAACTCCCGCTTTGTCTTTTTCAACAATATCTAATATTAAAACGGAAGTAAAAAAAAATCTTATATATAAAATATATTGCCAAGTAAAAAATCTAAATAAAAAATCACGAGTAACTACTTACAAACATGAAGATATATATTTACAAATAATTTACAAGTTATTGCGATATATCCAAAACCTTTTGTTGTTGGTTTAACGACATAAGATCCGTTACTTTTATCTTTAAGATATTGGACTGCTTTTGAGTAAGTCATTTGATGGAACATTGGGTGAAGAATTATTCTAATCGGGCTTGAAATAGGAATGTGAACTGGAATAGCTGGATAAAAAATAAACATGTCAATTTTGCTGTTTTTTTTACAATTAGAACTTTTTTAATAATCAAAAATTTTACCTTTCTTTGATACCTGTATTACTTCAGCTTCATAATCGAAATCATCATCAAGTTTTTTAGTTTAGGTTGTAAATTCTGCTATTATTTAGGGCTCTTGGACGAATGGTAAGATTTGCAGAAAATATTTACTTATCAATCAATGAAATTTTTGACTTTAATGGTTGATCAACTGAAAACTGTGATCGAACATCCTGAGGTGTGATTCTATAGTCATTAATGTTACCTGGTAATAACACCATCTATTTGATGTTCAATGAGTCGACAACACGCATTATTTGTACAGTCACAATTTGTCCCGGGAATAAAGATACATCATTTTTACCCGTTTCCATTTCAAATACTTGATTAGTAGTTGGTATTTCAAAATTTCGGTGCGGATTGACAAAAGATCTAGTCAGTTCTGTCTTATATGTAAAATAAGATTTGATGGAGATTCGTAATATTTTGAAAGACTTTTTGCATAGTCATCAAAGATAAGATCAGTCGTTTAAGAATATCAACACGGCAATTACTGTACATCTCTTCTTCGGCTTCCTCATTGTCCAAATCAAGTGCATCGCAAACCATTTTACGTGGAAAATATGAATTCTGGTGTCATCAAAAGAACCGGGTCGTTTAGGACGAACTCGAATAAAACCGGCACAATTTGTGTAAACTATTTTTCCTACTATCACATTTTTTATTAAATCTTCCGTCTTTCTAATTCCATAATTCCCTAAAGATTTAAAAGAAAATGGTTAATAATAAGAAAACCAATAAAATTATAACTTACAGTAATGAAAACTACAAATAACTTACGTCGGAAACTATGCTTTTAATTAAAACTTCAGCTTTACGAGCCTAATCCATTTACATACTGAAGAAGATCCATTTTATTCCTTGTATGTAAAACTTCATTAATACTGACACCAATATCCTCGTTGTAAACATTCAATAAGTTTTCACGAGGTAACTTTAAAAGGAGGGGTAAGATTTTAGGAAAAAAAATTAGATTAAAGGAGTAAGAAAAAAAAAAAACACAGAATTATAAAATATAATTAAGAAAATAAAATAAATACAAATTTCTGTAATGGATGATGCTACTTTTTCTTCAACAGCAGCATATTCGCCAATTGATTTTGTAACATTCGAGCCAAAGATATACAATATCTTGCTACTTTGTCATAATAAAGAAATTCTTTTTTTCATTCTTTCCCTTCTATTGCTTTATCCTTTTCTCTTCCAAAATTTTCGTTCATTAAATCTCTTTGCTTATTCTCTTTTTGCTCTCCTCTTCCATTAAACTTCTGCCTTTTGTGTCAGCGATTTCGATAATTCCAGAATCGTCGATTTTGGTGACCGATTTTAGTAGTTCTTTTTTCTCCATTTCCCCTCCTTTTCTATCTCTTCTACCTCTTCTGCCTCCTCCCTTACATTTGCTTCTTTTTTCTTCCATTAAGCTTCTGTGTTTTGTGACGGCGATTTTGACAATGGAAGCTTCTCCAATTTCTCTCTCCCTTTCTATTTCTTTCGCCTCTTCTACCTCCTCCCTTACATTCGCTTCTCCCTCTCTTCTTCCATTAAACATTTGCCTTTCGGGATGGTGATTTCGGCGATTTCAGTAAAAGCAGTATCTTTTTTTTTGCCCTTATAAATTATGATTATTGCTAAATGGTGGTTGACCAATCATATTTGGAGGGCACAGCATAAGAGTATACACATCCCAGCAGTATTGTACACGGAGCTTGTCACATCTTGTCCCAGATATTTATTTAACTTAGAAATTATATTATATTCTAAATATACAGTATGTAAGATGGAATGGTTGAAAAAATTTCGGATGAGTATGGGAGGAAAAGGAGGAGGAATTACTAATTCTAAAGATATTCCCGAAATACTGGATAAGATATATGTAGTTTATTCATAAACAATACTTTTTATCATTAAATTTTCAAAGCTTTTATTGGTAGATTATTAATTGTTCGGGATTTATTGAACATCAACAATATTTTTAATTCTTATTAGAAACTACTTTAAGTTTATTACTTCACGGTGAACAATTATTAAAAAAAAAAAATAAATATGAGAATTTATTCGGGCTGGAGCATCTTTTTGTGAGTATTTTTATTATTATTTTTTTTTGATTTTATTATTATTTAATTATTTATTTAATTATTATTATTTATTATTTTAAATTTATTTATTCTTTTTAATTAAATTTGTTATATTTTAAGTTCTAATTAAATATTGCAAATGAAACGATATTTCCACCTTAAACCAGTAACCCAATAATCTCATTGCAAGATTAT